CGTGGAGACGGAAACCTATCGCGACGCGTATGATATCGTGTGGCCAGGTGTAGAACGCGTCCTCGCAATGTGGAGAGGCCGGAGGGATGGCGTAAGGGCAATCGGCTGGAGCATCGATCGACGTTCGGTTAACGGGCGATGCGTGGTCTGGCAACTGCGCGTCATGTGGACTCGGTCCATCGTGAGGACGATAACGTTCTGCTGCAGCAGGGTATCTAAGCACGCGGTTGTAACTGATGACAAGCTTCGCGCAGTCAATGTGAGATCAGAGCTGGCGATGACAGAGTGGTGGACCTCGGGCGAGGCGGTGGCAGTTGGGATGGGCTCGCGCCGATGGTGGGGGCTGCGGAGTGAACTTGGCGATCATGGATGAGGTTGTAGGCGTCGCGGGTGGCATGAAACGACTTTGTTCGCAACCTCTTAACCAAGACGCAGTGGTGTGCCTCAGCCTGAGATGCTTATCAGAGAAGGGTGACGCTGAGACATGTTGTCTTGCCCAGCACCAGCTCCGCCTAATTCCAAGGCCCAGGTAACGTCCTCAGTGGGGACATCGGCAAGTCGCTGCTAGAGACAGGAACCGGGCGTGCGTGTTGGGCAGATAGTCCAAAGTTCTGCAGAGAGTGCGCGCGACAGGTGTTGTGAGGGATAGGCCTTTGGGTTCGTGTCGGGTGTTGGCTAAATATGGTGTTCAGCTGCACCGGTACCCGATATCAAGCCGTCTGATTCAACTAGGCTGTCATTGGCTTCGTTGAGCGCGCTTCCACGGATTAGATGCTACCGCGCCCATCGTCCGCTATCCTGCTGTGTATCGTCTCCCAGTTCCCGACCGGTCGTGTTTTGGTGTGAACAGGACGACAGCGGCGGGCCATTGGTAGCGACTAGACATGAGCGATGTCTGAGGTGTATGTAGTATGTGTGGAGATCTGAGCGCTACGTCGCACGAGAGCAGGGCCGTCGCGATGCTGGACAGTCCAAGGTGCTGCTGCTTAACGTGATTCCGTGTCTTATATGGGCGTTTGGGTGCTGCAGTCGCTTGATTGGATGCTAACGTGGTGTCGCATGCGGGAGGGCGATGGGCCGGTATACGTATGCGAGTCGCATGGCGAGTGGTCTTGTGGAGGGCAACGGAATATGTCACGCCGAGAGCGCTGAGGCTGCTGATCAGAACAGAACCGGGATCTCCGGCTCTAGAGGTAATATGGGGTCGGAGGACGACATGACTGTAATGCGCTGTTGTAAAGACATGGTGGACTGTGGCGCATGCATGGGGGGTGTGGTAGTGAGAGCTGGCACCGACCCAGAGCGAATGCTGGCCGCGGCCGGGTGCCACTAAGCCTACATGGGCACTAGCGCCGCTTTGTCATCAACGTCATAGCCATCTTGACCAAGACCACCAACACTCAGCCATCAGTTCCATTGCCGCCCAGGGCACGGCATAGCCGAGTCTCACGGGCGGGGCTTGGGCGGGCCTCGGGCGACATCAGACGACAGATCATCTCAACCTCTCGATGCACTCCATGAACTTGCGAAAGGTGGTGGTGCATCGAGCGTAGAACGACGTTATGACAAAAAGACACTGCTAGCTATACATACTCAACGTACCCACAAAAGTCTACACGAAGTACCTCTACCTATCTCCTCAAACGAGCCTGATTCACGACTCCTCGAATTTCGCATCAGGCCAACTACGATGCGCTTTTCCATCGTCGGTCACCCTCTCCGCGATAGACACTCTGGGACTACCCCAAAGGTCTGATGCATCTGAAAACAGTTCTAGCATCTCAGACAAGAGACGCTTCGCTGTTTCTTCCATAAGAGGACGACGCAGCATCATCCAGTCAGTAAGGATAGCCATGCAGTCGTCCAGATCTTCCAGACTGCCTTTACTAAAGACAATGTATCTTGTCGAGACAAATCCGTCTCGAGCGGTTTCTTGAAGTCTGAAAGCTCGGTGAAACCCGGAAAACATTGTCATAGCTCCCCAAGTGCCGCAGGCATCTACTACGGGGCCTCGGTGAAGAACCAAGAGGCATCGGCATTTTTTCCATAGCTGATCCAAACACAGCTTCATGGCCTCTTCGGCTGTCGCTATGTTGACAGGCTCGATCATCTTACCGCCGTTCCTCCACCAGACGTTTCCGGAGCGATTCTCCCAATTGCTGATGGACTCCCCTTCCGCCAGCTCAAACGCATAGCCCGGACCAGAATCGATGACAACGGCCGATTGGGATTCATCGGACTTGCTTGCTATGCGATGTGCTGCGGGATATTCGATATAAGCGGCATCGATGCTCGCATGCTCGTTTGTTGCGATCGCAAAGGACGTGCATAGTCCGATGCCGCTTGTCCAAAGATAGGGAGGAAGAGGTTCTGTCCATGCTGGCTTGACATCCCCGAACAACTTTCCATTCTTCTTGCCTAGTAGCTTTCCCGCGAGGTCCCATCTAGTATTCGGATCGACATTATCTAGCAGTTGATCGCATCTTCGGAGGAACTCTCTCCACGGCTGCGTTGCAGCTGGCATGGCTGTTGCCAAGATGTATCTGGCGTTCAAGACATTGGTGTAGTCTGAAGACGCCCAGACTTGTTCGTAAGCAGACTGGGCTGCTTCGAGGTCTGTCATTGTGTATATGTGTGTGTGTCTACGAGTGTATGATGAAAACGTCGGGATGCGGATGCGATTGCGAAAGTGTGTAGCTTTTGGCGCTGGTCAACCCGTCGGTGGTTGACAAAGAGCAAGACAACGGTCCTCGCATGGTAAACATTTACCCAGTGTGCAACTTCCGTAGGTTACGCGTGTACACATTTCACGTTGATTCCTTCTACGTGTACTTCAATACTCTTTCCTTATAATCCTGCGATTCTCAACTAATCTTTTCAGCAAGGCTATCTCCTGGACTTAAGCTTACAGACGTCGCTAACTATACCAATCAAAAAGAACCCTAAGAAGTTTAGGATGAATGGATTGTTAATAGTGCTGGTTCAATTTGTGGATGTTGCGGAAGGAGAACCATGGTTCTAGAGGTACATAGCCACTGCACTTAAAACCCTTCGTTCTACTGCACAGTCGCAAACATACTCGCACACGCATACACACCACCACGCACAAGCATACCCGCACACGCACTTACAGTTCGCGCACCCTACACGATGTCATCCTCCCAGCAGCAGTCCGTCCCAAGGATTAGACGGGTTCGAGAGCTGCAAGCGTACGAGGACTGGGTCGAGGCAGGGGGATTAGAAAGATTTGCAGCAGAGCATAATGTCAAACCAGACTTCGCTGACCGTCTTTGCGACGTCAAGCCGGACGTAGCCATCGCGTTTTACCTCAAGCTCGCGACTATACCTGGCCTAGAAACTACAATGGCACCCCCGAGCAACGAAGTGTATGCCCCCGCCTCATATGGGCTACAAATCATACAAGACATGGAGAACGGATGGAGCAGCGAAGATGAGACGGATGATAAGAAGGCCAAGGAACAGAAAGGCGGAGAGAGCAAGGACGTAAGTCGCAAGACTTAGTCCTTGCATCTTGTGGTAGGGCTGACAAATGACAAGATCAAGGACGAAACCGATGAGGACTTCTTGTTCCTCGCAGTTTTGAGCAGCCTGAGGAAACGAGGCGCGTCCAGTTCAGCACTGAGTAGCCTGGCAAAGCGCTACAAGGAGGCATGAACACGCCAACGCTCTTGGTATGGAGCTTGTGTCAACCCTCGTGAGAATTTTCTCTGCCAAGTCAGCGATGGATAGTCCGGGAGTCATCTCATCAGAGTGCCCAGCTGATTCAGTGTAAGCATTCGAGCATGGGAAGCATGTGGCGGATCGATGGGGAAGGTCGTGTCGTCCAATCAGCGAAGCTGCAGCCATCTGAACTGCAAAAAACGCGACAAATGGTTGTACATGCGATAAAAATGCGCGCATTTGTGTCGCCAATATACCTTTTTCAAACGTGTAGAAGATCTGTTGTGCAATTAAGCTTCCGCGCTGAATCAGTCATATGCAGCCCATGAGCTACTCATGTGCCCACACCGCGTATCGCCGACAGAGTCCCATAAAGTGGGTACAAGATAGCCCTCCTATTGACCAGCTCAGGCTGAAATGAGCAGTGCGCTGAGTGAGGTCTGCTGCGCGATCGACGTGTGTACGCGGAGGACACAAGGGCGGCATGCGCAAGACTGGACCTCGGCTCTGGGCGGACATCGGAAACACGACATGCCGCCCACCCAACAACACCTCGGACCTTCTCGCAAGCGCATTCACGCCTGGAAGTCGGGCTATGCATTGATCGCCCGCCCTTGCATCAGTATGGTCACAACGAGGCGCCGGCACCAGAGACGACTACCTAGGTACCTACGAACTCCATCGAGACGCGCTCCAACATGCATCGTCCGTCTACTCATCATCGGCCACTATCGGTGGCTACGACCCTCAAAGCTGCCACTGTGTCAAGCCAGGTCCCCATCATGCGCACCTCGCCCTTCGCAATCAAACAAGAGTAGACGTTGCGCTCTTCTGCTAGTCTCATCTCAACGAGGAAGATGATGGGCCATCGGCTCAGACTGTGGCCTCGCACCTGCATTCGCAAGATGCATGCCATCCTCAGCTGCGCCGTTGGTACCTAGGTAGGATGAGTCTCCGGGTAAGATCATCAAGTCGGTCTCTTAACAACTCTGCAAGGAAATGTAGGTCAGCCACGAAGCCTTTCATTAGTCAACTCTGTACAAGTGCGCATGGGCAAATGAGGGTCAGATTAACACAAGCATCATGTGTCCTCACCGCCATGGAGCCCTGCCCGCAGGTGTGCCATTGTGATTATTACGACGTCTTCTTTGATGTACAACTCCCAACCGTCAGATCACTCCAACCACAAATATACTCTAGTCTTGCACAGAAACCCCGCCCAGCAACGCCCTTACGCCAACATATCCGGCTCCTCTTCCAGACCCCCCATGATTTCGCATCTCGATAGGTCGCACGTTGCCGAATCTGCTCTCGTCGCGTCACTCATAGGGCTGTAGGGTCTGCACGAAGTCTCGCTCTGGCTCGTTCTGCTCTTGCGCGGTCAATTGCGGCGAGCTCAAACTGAATGCTTTTCAACCACTCGATGATCGCTCTGTGAAGGTCAGCTAGGCAGGTTGCGAACACGCGGCGGATATACTCACTCGAGCTTAATGGTTTTGATCACGTGGTCGCCATCACTCATATCGTCGATACTACCGTCACGTTCTCTGCCTGGGTCGGTACCTTCTTGGACCTCTTCGACGTAGCTGCCCCCGCCTTCTCTGCCCTCCATCCGCCGCGACTCTCGTGGTGAGCTCTTTGAATCGACGCTCCAGATGCCGCAAACACTGGTTCCAGCGCCTTTCCATCGCTTGCGGAGCATGGAAGAGATGGAGGAACCGGTCGTTCACGAACCGACGAACTCCTGCGCAACTAACAATCTCATCGCGAACGGTCGCTTGGGTTTGGGCCTTGTCGACTTCGATTTCTGAGTCTCGGAAGTGCTGCATTTTGGTGGGCGAGGGGACTGCGACGCGTCGCGCGGGAGTGGTGAGAGTGGTGGTAAGTCGGAGTAGTGCGATATGTTGGCCAGTACGAGTTGGCAAAAGATCGCTACGACACACACTTCCCCGCGCTCACCGTCCCTTCCACCTTCACTACTACCTGTGAGATTGGGGCGGCGGAAATCAGCGCCTCATTGACAGCGGCCTGAATCGCTCCGTGTCGCTGGTTAGGAACGAAAAGTTTAAAATTAGTCTCGCCATCCAAGATCGAATACCAGAAGCTTCCCTGGCACCTGCGATCGGGTCAGCCCAGACAAACGTGTCTCCATCACGCTGTATGTCGACTTGGAGGTCTGTATCAACTCTGAAGCAGTTGCGGCATTAGCCGTACAACTGTTCGGAGATGTCCCGCGGTCTGTGACGTTCACGCAAGCCTGCAGGTAGATGGAATATCGGAAAGTTCATGTCTCCCATCCCACGACGCCCGTATCTCACCTCCTTCGTCATTCAAATGCCCACGTGCATCACGATTGAGCTCCACCAAATTTCTCAGCGGAATACTATCTCAGCGCGAATTTAATCACACCCGCTTCGAACCCCAGGAAGTGAGACCTATTGGAGCCAACACGATCAGCCGCCGGCGTTTAGCGCTTGGTGCGTACTCATGGTGAAAGTGATTGCGGAAGCGACCACCAACCGAGGTCTTTCACACCCGGAAATCTGTTCCTTTTTTCCAAGCGCTGCTATCCTAATTTCACGGAAAGCCATTTCCCCTGTCACCGATATACAGCTCAGAAGACATCGCGAGACGTTAGCATGGAATGCACCGAATCCGCGAGGCGCTTCATCATTACCCTGCAGATCAAGATACATCTCCTCACCCCCAAGTGCCATCCGAGAACTCCCCGAAAGATGAGATGTCGGTGGTACAAGAAGACGCGCCACCCCAAGCGCCGTCTGAAGAAGCTCGGCACTCTTATTGAGGGAGACGAGGAGGATAGCACTGGCTGTGAGAGTATTTTCATCAAGAGGAAAGGCCATGACCACGAGGAAGATGGTATTGATACCTCGTAAGTATGTACACCGCTGCCTCTACTCTATTTCCTTAGCCTTCGCAGGCCGTTAACTACTTAGGTCGACACGATCGTATACGTTATGGCCACCTTGACACCGCAATGGTTGTCCATTATTGACGAGAACGCTACAACAGCTAGACAATACTGCGATAAGTTGAGCACTCGGCGCACATATTGGACTCTAATCTACTGTCTCGGTGTCTGCGTTTTGTCGGCAGCAAGAAAGCCCACGCAAGATACCAGCTTCGGACTGTAGAGCATGCGTCGTTACATTTCCACAATGAGAGCTCATGATTTCTTCTGGACTCTTTATATGGAATCTCCAGCGGATATAGTGTCCTGAATTCCAGCATACAATTGAGGCTGCGCCGTTGGTGCGAAGTCGTTCGAGATGTTTACCCCCATCATTCCTTGCAATACCCCCAATTCAGATGAACGGGCTTTTGACTTGCGATGGAGAGTGAGGGCGTAGGCAAGATGGGTATGTTTACGCGATCTTTCTTCGAGTTCTCTAGATTCTGACGGTCTAAGAAAATCTGCGTGACAATGGCGCGGACCTTCGGTTGTCTGAAGGCTGCATATGAACCCGTATGGACCACGACAGATCTATGGGGTAGTGCAAGCCGTGGAAAGAACTCAGATTATTACTAAGAACTCTTGAAAGAACTTACTGCGAGACGTCGTTGACTGTGTCGTAATCAAGGTTGTCATGTCGCTGGTACGACGTATTCGGGCAGTCTTTGGGTCCTCGGTACGTTGGCACTTCGGCCTGACCTGCTGCTTCTTGCTTTGGTTCTCGTATTCGCGTATAGCTTCCTGATGTGGGGAAAAGAGCCTTGTTGGTAACGGTAGCTAACGTCGGAGTCGCTGTTTCAAAGTTTCAAGGTCTATGACAAGCGTAGAGGGAGGACTGAGATCAAGTCTGATAGATCATGTAAGCGAGTAAACAACATAAACGTGCCGCGGGCGTAATCACTCTTGGCCAAGACTGACTCTGGCAACCTTGATTCCCTGGGCTTTGATCACTCCGAGACCTCTAGACTTGACAAAGTCAATTCCTTCTACCTGAGCAGCTTCTTATTCTTGGGTTCGCACTGTTTCGTACTCCTCCAACCCAAGAGCATCATGCTCCCACGCCTTGAGCTTGCATATCTCTTCGTCCTCTTCATTGGTATCGAGTATGGTTTGAGGGTGGAGAACGAAGCGTGGTCTTCGCGATTGTCCAATTTCATCATCTCTGTCTCGAGTCTTTCTTGGTCCCATGATAACCTGGAGCGGAACACGCAAACGGCAAACGTAAGTTTGGTAGTCCACCTGGGAACCGACACGGTCTGGAATGGTGAACAGCAACGCCTTCTTGATGATAGCTCTCAGTATTGTTTTCGCCACGTCAAATCGATCGACACTGGGGCCTTCGGTGTTGAGGCAGGCAGCGTTGGAGATGTGCGTCTGTGGGAGGATGGAAGACACGCAAGAACATTAGCCTTGATCCACCTCAGAGCTGTGACTGCCAAGCGTTGTGATCTATCGTCTGCGCCGTCTAAATCGAGTCTATGAGGGGGATTAGCCGGGTCAATAACGCAGTGAGTCGGCAGCTGTACTTACCCGCAATTCACCATATCGCTATCACCCTTTTCGTACACAGCTTTTACTATGATACCCGTTGCAACGCGGTCCTTGAAGTCCGTTTCGTCGCCTGTGGAAACGATGGTCTCGGCTTCGTCACATATATCAGCGCCGTAGCTGGAGGCTTCCTCTTCGTGCTTCCATTCGACCTCGTAGTGATAAAACGCTGGCTCGTTCCAGGAGTCGGTATCGCTACAGATTGAAGCCTCGTCACTCAACTCAACTTGGGCAGAGAGGTCAGCCTTATCCACGGATCCGATTCGACTGAGAGAATCGATCTCTTCGACCTCGACAATAGCTATGAGGCCCATTACCCACGTCTGTAGGTCTTTGGAATAGTCGTATTGCACCGCATCCTTTTGAACGGGGTGTCTGAGGTTCAACGCAAATTCTTGCGCTGGGGGCTGCGCGTTGCACCGTGGCGGGCTCGTTCTCTGGATTTATCACGGTGGCCTCGCTTCCGGAACTCATCGCGGCGGTCTCGTCGTTCGTTGTTCACAGGATTACGGGCTTGCAGGCGTTAATGTGCAGTAGAATGAGGATGGGCAAACAACTTGTTGCGAGAAGTGGGAGACTTGTTGTACGCCAAGACGCGCTTCCTCGGTCACCTCTGGTTCCACGTTCACGCTTACCACGGTGGAGCTGCAAACGCCAAGGGCGGACCCTAGCGACCTGTTTCTCGTGGCCACCGCGGGGCAGAGAATGAGAGCAGGTCGCCCTCTGCTAGCATGTCGGATAACGGAAGTCTCGGTGGTACATGAGAGATATTTGGATCGATAGGAAGTGTTGCGAAGCCTACGGCCTAAGAGGTAGATGAAGACAATCTGTCGGAAGGTTCTGGATCGAATGGTCAGTTCTATGAGTCGACGGCATTTTAAGTCTGGACGCGTGGTGCATGGCTTGATCAGCGATAAATGCTGTCCGGACCAGCGTCGCAAGTACGACTACTCGGAAGAAGCCTGGAGCGTACATCATCCGATACCCAAGTATGGAGGTCGTGAAGGGCTACTAAACGCATGACGTGTACTGCGCGGCGTTATCACAAAGACTTCTTGCTGGTATGTCGTCTTTGTTCTATAGCTAGTCCTGGTCTTCAGTACTTGCGCATCGTTGACCGAGAGCTTCCCGACGCTCGTCTAGGAATCCAGTTCGTCCCATGATCAGTCGTTTGTACCGGCCCTGCTCTTCCAGTCATTCACTTTGCATTCCTCACCGACCTCACGCGTCTCACCACTGTTCTCATCAGTCTCGTCGGTGTGGCGCTCGTCACTGGTCTCGGTAACCATACCAAGCACAGGCACTCGACGATCGACCTTCTTCATCTACACCCTCTGCACACACATGTCGCCAGGCGCTTTGGCGTGCACCCCTGCTAGAAGCGGAATCAGGCTTCATGGTGCGAGAGTGAGTTGACTAGGCTGTGTGTTGAAGCACCGATCTTTGCGCGTGTTACGCTTTCCAAACGTCTCTGTGGAGTCGTTGCGGGGCGAAGACGATGGTCGCAGCAATCAAGGAAAAGGTAGTGTGAACAGACGACGCGTCAGGAAGGACGACGAGCCCCAGATCGCTCCCACCTTCACCTTCATCGCTGCTGTTAAGCGCCGGGTGGCAGACCATGAAGGCCCACTATTTTGTAATCAATTCCAGATATGTACATGGTTAACAATGTCCAAATGGGGCAGCCCCAGTAAGCCGTGTTCAGAAGTTCGAAGCTCTTTCGATAGAGTGGTGAGCAGACAAGGTTGAATACGCGTAGCGAGTGAACGTTATCCGCACCGGGACAATTCACGAGTGGCTTGCTGCGGCTTCGATAATCTGATCCGCCCGATCTCTCTCTTCCACGTCGCAGATCGCTGTTTCGCTACGGCAACAGTTGGTATTGCTGTCGGCTCTCGCGATATGACTGGTATTGGTTTTCTTAGGGGGCTCGACGACCTGCAAGACCTCTTCCTCGACGACAACGCCTAGCTCATGTACCGAAGCCTTGAATCCGTCAACTTTCATCCTCCATGCTTCCATGTTGCTTTTGGTCTTTCCATGTGCCGTGTGTGAAGCGTGAGTGGAACGCAGAGTCCTTAGCCTTCATTTCCAGCGTCGTGGTGCCGACCAACTGGCAAGGTGTCCGCACTGCAAGCGATGAGTAGTACTAGTCGCAAAGACACGCTCTACCTCACCAGCTCCACTTCCCTTGCCGCAGCCTGGCTGCTCATCAAGGAACAAGGGGCTTTTCGCTTATGCTTGACCAAATTGTACTGCGATTCCATCGTTTTGTTGTGTATGCTCCACGTTGTACGGGTGGTATCGCACGATACACCATAGCGTTATCATGTTCGTCGGCGCATGAAGGTTGAAGTCGGTGAAGAAGTTTGCATGATCAGGGCAGGGTAACTGAATGTGGCGAGGACGCGGAGATGGACGGGGAAGGCGCTCAGGTCTGAATGTTCGAGGTGAAGGCGGATGCTGTGAAGAGTGTTAGCTAGACTCTGGACGATTGCAACGGACGCGAAACTCAAACTTGATGCGCGAGAAACGCCCCCCCTGCGTTGCTGCCCGCCGAACGTCCAATCTTGGCAGCGGAAGCCTTGCGACTTAGGTCGCCCACACACCCGCGGGTACCGCAAGCTTGAAAGGTACGCAGTTGTTGCCAGCCCGTAAACGCATCCTGCCCTCATGTTCTTGAAAGTGCGCCCTGCCGGGGGAGGTCCCGCTATCACCTCGCGGTTCCTGATACCCAGTATATGCCGGAGAAAGTATGGTGAACAAGGACGGACGTTGGAGGCGAAATAGACACCCATGTGTTGGAGGACACGCGCAGAATATCATCGACTTCGGACGCGTGGTCGGTGGGCAAGGCGCGGGTCGGGCCTTCAATAGGAAGAATAGAGAGTAAGCCAGCTCTTCTTCCCTATGCCAGCCAAGTTCCTCATCCATAAACGAAGAGCAAGTTGGTTATTTGCATGACCCGTTGGCAGACACTCCCCGGGTATATGTACGTCGTGTTCTGCGGACTGGTCGGTATGGATCGCCATATCGGTGGTCTGCGCGTGTGCATTCGTCACGGGGTCGTTTTTCGCGAAGGAGGAGGTAAGCAGTATCTGCGCAAGTGTCAGCGATCTGTCGTGGCCAAAAGTACGACATGCCGTATACCAACCATTGCTGCGCTTTTGTGCACTCTGTCGCCGATCTCATCGTTTGTGTCTTTGCCAGCTTCGAGCGTTGTGGGAAGCTTGACGGTGGCCAAGTCAGTGCCGGCGCTGCGGTCGCTCCCAGGAAGTCAGGCTCGATCGATGCTGGCGTGAGGTGACGCCGTTGATAGCGTAGCTGTCGATGACCAGGGTGAGGGCGTCGATCTCCTGGTGCCAGCTAGGCTGCTGTTCGCTCGCATCGGCGTCGTGGTTGATTGGCGAAGTCGTCACGGAAACGAGAAGTTCGTGGTGGAGGCCCATCGAATGTATGCGCTGCAGGGGAAGTCACCTCAAGTCGCGGTGGACAAAGTTGTTGCCGCGCCGGTAGGCTAGAGCACTGAAGAGGCCGCCGGTGGAAGACACCACGTGTGACGTGGACCTGTGCTCGATCGCGAGGTTGCAGGAGATGTGAGAAAGTCGACAGCGGCTCCGAGATTAGGCGCGGGGAAGGTCGCTGTTGTTGTCGTACATCTCCGTTGTGGCAATGACGCGCTTCCTGGACGTGCTAGGATACGATGGCCACATGTGCGGCGTGGCGAAGGGGAAATGATGTCCCGAAAACGAGTCTTGAACGGCGTGAGGATATATAGCTCGGTGCTGATGCCGTTGGTGCATAAAGTGTGGTACGTGTTGTAAGTGCCGACGCAAACACTACCTTGTCCAAGATGACGTGTTTCGATTTCGAGACACCATTCCACGTGCGTGTGAACATTGGAGTCAGCAACGAGAATTGAGGTGACGTTGCGGCCGTGGGCGCGACGGGCGCATGATTCGCGCAGAATTCGGAGACATGAGATGTAGGTAGGATGTCGCACGTCGTGACATCTCGATGGTTTGAAGGTTCTGGGGCGCCGCTTGATCGTTTTAGGGCGTAGCGTCGCAGCTCCACCCCCCGGGGCCCGGTCCGCTCGAGTAGAACCCCACACCTTCACCACAGCACATTCAACCATCAACACTCTTGCCATCTCGCGCGCATCCACCTCTGCAAGATGCTCACACCTTAGGCATTTCGCTAAATTGTCATCCCCTTTGTTCACCAGTTTCGCGACGCAAACGTCGAGGCTGTGCAGCATGGACTGTTCGGGTCTTTCGCCATGGGATTCTCCAGATACGATTTGCCTTTCTATGATGGCTTTATGTACCTGTCCTGGGATGTCAATCATTTGCTAGACCTTTGAAGCTCGTCTTGCTCATCTTCACTTGCCAACGCGCTCGCACACGGTCATGTACGCGACATGTCGCGTGCTGTACCGTGCGATTGCCAATTACACAATCATACACATGATTGTCCCAGACAATCGCGTTATTATGCTGAATGATCGGTCTCCAGCGATTTATCACCGTGACTTTCTCGCTGGAATACTGCCCACCAACACCCGCTTTCCCCGGCAGATCGCAGACGTGAACGAAGATCTCCTACAAGTCAAACAGCGGCCACGGCGGATTGCCCCAACTCAGGCAACATTCAACCAACCACGCGCAGCCCGTGCCGCCATGCAAAAGACCTATCCGAGGCCGAACTGAGCGAGTACGGAACGGCCATGATGCGAGCGGCACGCGAGAGTTGCTGCCACTCGATCAATCTTTTAGTCGAGATCGCGGATCGCGCCAACACTCCTACCAGCGACAATTATACGCATACCGATTCTGTCAACGGTGAGGCGAGGCCAACAGCACCTGCGCCCAGTATTTGTCACCCTGGCTGTAGGAACGAATGTCGCATTGACAACCCCGAGCCTCAACATTGCGTCAGCCGTGAAGATCTTCCGACAACGTCGCACATCAGACCCTATTCATTGACTGATGGTACAGAATCATGGACGCCCAGCCCGACACTGGTATCACTGAAATGTAGGGCCGAGTCGGTGGTGCGTAGGATAGGGGAGGATACCACTCGTCTTGAGAAGAATGTTGCCCACGTCACTCGCCGTCTCGAGCGATACGCGAAGAGTCCATCGGACAGCGGTGATTGTATTAGGGATGACTTGGACAAGGAAGAAGTGAGTCAGGTAGTGCATCGTGTAGAGAGAACAAATGGCTCGTGAGCTTTTGACTGCCGGGGGGTGAAAGTTGATAGATGTCTATACTTTTGGTAGGCCGAAATGAAACACAGAGTTACACATATCGAAGCAAAGGTGGGCGAGACGTTATAGGCACCTGACCAGCCGGTTGGACGCAGCGACTGCGAAGCTGGTCGCGTCAGAAACCAATATACAGATGGTTAAGGGGATATCTCTGCGACGAGAAGCGAAGAACGATATAATTAATCTGCATGTACGGGTTCGC